GGAAAAATAAAATAAAATTCCAGTTAACTTAGCTGTTAAGAAAAAGGAAATTGATGGAATTGCAGATAGCGTTGTATGCTGCAGCAAACATTGAAAAGAAAAAGGTTGTTTTAATTAAAAATTATTAGACGATGTCAAACGTTGTAAACTTTTAGTTGAAATAGTCGTACAAAATAAGACATATCAATTATGTAAAGATTAATCATAATGTTGTGAAGCATATTTTATATTGTTTCAAGAAGTTAAAGTTTAATGATGAATATTTATTTTACATATTTAACATTTTTCTCAGGTTTATTTGAGAAAATCATTTGAAAATAAAACTTTATAAATTGTCTATAAAGTGAAATATTTGTTTTTGAAGTCAGTATACACAACCAAAATTAAAACACATTTTGAAAATAAATTTTTCTTTCGAAGGAAAGTGTTAATTTGTACCGCATTTTATTACAAAGTTTATTTTATAACTCATGGCTTAAATTGAAAGAATGAAAATGCATTTTTAATATTTTTTTATTTACTTTTAATTTTTATCAGCAATAAATTTATTAAATAAATTTAAAAATTTCAATTTTGTAGTTCTGACATAATTTTGAATGTTCAATATCTTTTCTTTCGTCTCATAGATGGCGCCACAAAATTTGTTTTTCTTTAAAAAGAATGTTTCAGCAGAGGAGCACTTCAGATAAAATAAACTTCAAGATCAACGCGATGTTATTATACTCGTGGTTATATAAAATAATGGAAACGTCAAATACAAATATGAATATTACACATGAATATTTAAAATTGTCTACGAGCGCTTTTTTCATTTAATGGTGACTAAATTTGATGTTGAATGAAATTATAAATTTTATGAATAGTAGAATATAGAATATTTTATGAATAGTGGAGCATAGAATATTTTAAAATTAATGGAATATAGAATATTTTATTAATAGCAAACTTGAATTGTTCTCTATGCAGAAAGCATAATGGTTCCGACATAACCATTATGCTTTATGCTTTATTATGGCAGTGAGGCCTGATGGACAACTGGCTAGCGCTCTGGCCGTTGGTATGAAACGCTTCAGGTTCGAATCCTGGCGGTGGCATGGATGTTTGTGGGTGGTTCGGAATCCACTTTAAACTGTAAGTTCCGGTCTGTTTAGCCTAAAGTGTGCAGAAAATGACCGTAGAGCGACTAACCAAACCAATTATTATGGCAGTAGATGTCAGATTCTTCACATTTTCTTTTAAAAGAGACCATGGTAATTTAATTAAATAGAATGCAAGGCTGCTCACACTAGGCAGATTGTACTTCGTCCTATTTTTTAATCCTCTACTTGCCAAAATTAACCGCATGGATAGGAGCATTATTATACTGGAAAAATGCTATCTTAATTAAGGAAGAGAATATGCATCATAGAATGGACCAGGTCTTTAAAATATAAGTTGTAATTTTTGGGACACGCTTTTAGAGTTTAAATACAATGAATATTGTTCAGGACATTTTAAAATAATCGAAGTGCAATTTGAACAAAAGACACAATCGCAATTCGTTGAGTACAACTAACAACTATCACAGAACTAAAACAAAATAATCCATTGTAGAATTATTAAGGAAAGTGCTGGATAACTTGAAGGTTTACAGATCCGAGAGAAGTTTTCTGTTATTTCTGTAATTAAAATACTATCGGAGGGCCTGATGGCAGAGTGGATAGACCTCTGACGCTCGATACTTCTGATTCGGGTGCAGTGGTTCGGAATCTGTCTTAAACCGTAGGTCCTGGTCTAATATGAACGTTGCGGGGATAGTGTTACTCGCGTCCGTAGTATATCTTCAAGTTACATGTGCCCCCTGAGTAGTGCTAAATGAGTAACATCGGTGCAGCCTTTGCTTATGGCATAGAGATAACTATTTGTCAGCTGCATTAGGTAAAAAAATATTATGGGTCTAACATAATGCACTTCATCAAAATTAGCAGAAATTTTCATTACAAAGACAGCTAGTGGCGAGTAGTAGGAGAAACTTTTTTCGGATTATTCAATGAAATATCATAGAAAGAAAATGATAAAATTTAAAAATTGATAAAAATTAACTCAGAACTTAAGCACAAGAACATAAGTTTTAGAGTTGTATTTCACTAAATTTACTGCTGTAAGATCATGTCTTCTTTTCTTACGGAGATATTTGTCTGATTCTTTCATTATTATTATTTTTTATATATTTGTACCTGCTGGCAACTAAAGTGCTTCCCAAGTTGAATAAGATTTATTTTGTTTATCTCTATTTATTAGCGAAATATTAAATGAGAACTACCTCTTCATCTGTGGTTGATGGAATAGATCTATTCTCTGGTGTTCTCGAAGCCCTTTATCTTAATCCGCTGGACATCTTTTAAGACGATAAATCAAGAATATTGTGTACAAGGACACCTAACCAATTTTATCGCCCCTGAGAAAAATGGTTTTAGCAATTACGATAATTTCTTCAGATAGGTGATTAATCACAGTCTATCCAGTAACAAAAGAAATATCAGTCAAAATAAGCAAAATACGCAAGATTTCGAATAATAAGAATCGCGGATAAGCTTACTAGTTTCGGGGCTAGAAAATTTTGTAATTTTGATGTTATTTTTCCATGAATCTCATTTAGATTTCAACTAAAAGTGAATGTTAATCTGTAACAATAATTTATTGTTACATATTAAATAATATTTTATTAAAATTTAACAATTTATTGTATGAAGCTAGTATTTGAGGTCGTTTCGAAAACCATTACTTATAACATTATGTGAGAATACACGATAAACAATGGTGATGATGAAAATTGGATCTAAAAAAAAAAAAAAAAAAAGATTTCATGTAAATGAATATTTTTTTGTTTCTTATCAATCGTAATTTTTTTTTTTGGGGGGGGCGAATTTAAGGAAAAATAGAGCTAATGTTATTTTATTTATTAACTTATTATTTAATTATTAAATTTAATTATTTTATTAACTTTTTATTTTTGTGTGCTTATAATAAAATTAAGCCTTGCAAAAAAAAAAAAAAAAAAAAAAAAAAAAAAAAAAAAAATTGTTCTTTGCAACGAAATAAAAAATAAAAAAATTGTAATGTTAAAAACTAGTCTAACTTTTTTACTGTTTTAAAACTAGCATTAAGTTATTAATTAGAAATCATTTTTGTTGCAGCGTTAAAATAAATAAAAATAAACATGCCACAGAAAATATTGAATTCTAAGGTATTTTTGCAACAATCAGCAGAAAATCAATAGATAAAATTGAATATGCATCTAGAACATTCACGTAGACTATACAGTATATGCAAGTGGAATATAGTACTTAGAAGTAAAACATATAGTAGAGTGTATTTTCTAGAGTACTGATTGTGTATCTAGAAATGCAGTTGAGTCCCGACTATCCGAGCCCCGCTTAATTGAATTTCCGCTTTAATTGAGTTATTAAATGGAAAAAACACCCCACCCACTTTATGGCTCGTTTTTTTCCCAATCAGACGGAAAGAAAGAAAAAAAAAAAAAAAAAAAAAAAACCCGGTTTTTGTAGCATCTTACATTCCAATATCAAGCAGCGTATGTTCGTTGGGAAAGTCGAATAGCAAAAAAGGAACTATTTCTTATATTTTCCATACTTGAAGGGGCAAGTGTATTTTTACTAGAAATGAAAAATGGTTACTTCTCGCTAATTTAAGACTGTGACGGGCAATCGACGCACAGGCTTTTGGGGGTGGGGGGAGACTCTCAAAATAACAAAAACATCGAGGGCAACAATACTAGCAGGAGATTACGATACCACGTCAGCAGTATGATGATAATGAAGCTGGTGATGACGAATTTTTTTTTTTTATTACAGATAGGATTACAGGCGTTTAAAATCGCGAATAGCAGAAAAGTAATAATAAAAACGTTTCATCAAAAGAAAATGATATATTCTGAAGGTCTAAGTTCTATAGAAAAAACAAATAAATACATTGAGTAGCAAGAGAATAAATACACTTGCAATTTGATGGCATTTATACAATGGCGCAACACTGAAGCAAGAAAGCGTTTATCATCCTTTAAATAAAAAAATAACAAGGGCTTCTTCAAATGTACAATTTCATTCTTCATGTTAATGAAAGCATTGAAAACGTACATCATAAGTACTGTAAGTGCATCTAGTCCCATAAAAAATAATAAATTGTGTGTAAATTCACAGTATGAGCAGAAAGTTTTGCCCTGTTTATAAAAATTTATTGAGCGTAAACTATTGTAATTAGACATGTTTTCTTGGATTGTAAGTACTTTTATAAAGTTTTTAATAAGACAAGTACTTTAATACATTTCAATGTCTGCTTTCTTGGTAAATTTGAGAATGGCAAAGCATTTCTCGGTGAATATTCTTTAAAATGTCCCCCGTAAAAGTAAACACAGCATCTTTTTTCCTAGCATTCAGTTCTTCAACGTCAGCAGCTGGTGAGGTAAAGCCTTTATTCTCGATATAGCCTCCCCCCCTTCCCGAGAAAAAATCAAAAGGGGTAATATTAGACCAAAGTATTGGTCCATTCTTTCCAGTCCACCGGCCCGGAAATTTCTCGTCTAGGAATTCACGAACTAAAGAACCCCAGTAAGAAGGTGCTCCATCATGCTGAGAAATAATCCATGGTTAAAATTTTCATAACTGAGATGCAAAAAATAGTTTCAATAAGTCTAAGTAAACGGTAGCGGTGATGTTTTTTTTCCATGAAGGAAAACGGCCCAATAATCTTATTATGCATGAGCATGAGGCCACACCAAACAGTTACTTTAAACAGTTACTACCAAACTAACCTCATCAAACAGTAACTTTAGAACTGTCTTTCATTACCTGTGCAGAAATATATGGATTATCTGATTCTCAGATTCAGATCTTTGATTATTTACCTTTCCGAAGCCATAACATGTTAATTCATAAGATAAACAAAAGCGATTTAAGTAAGCGTTTTCGACATCAATTCTGATTAGAACTATTGCACTGTTCGTACCCATGGTGTAGTGGTTATCACAATCGCTTCACACGCGAGTGGTCCCGTGCTCGATCTCTGGTGGGTACAGAGCGTATATATTTTAGGGCTTGATGGCCGAGCCACTGGTGCTCGGTGCCAAAGATGTCGGGTTCGAGTCCCGGCGGTGCCATAGATGTTTGTAATAGTTCGCAATCCACTTTAAGCCGTAGGTCGCAGTCTAATATGACTGCAGAGCGTTGGGCGTAGGGCTGACAACCCTATCCCGTAAAAACGTCAGCCTCACGGAGCCAAGTCAGACTTCTACCTACGGGTGTTCGATCACAACAGAAGCTGCTCCCCCCGCCTTTCATGAGACCACATGGGTTCTTAGATTTGTTCTAGATGTTGCTGTCTACCAAGTGGGATAAGAAACAATACTATTGCATACGCACACACAGAGATATTTTGTTTTAAATTTTTATAATCAGGGCAAGAATTTGTGCTCACTCTGTAATTTCATGATTTATGTGAATCCAGTTTATCCAAGTTTTTTGCTTATCCGAAGCGAGGTTAATCCATATTAACTTGGATAATCGAGACTATATAAATTTAAATACAATAATTTGCTTTCAAATAAAATAATTTTCTTTCAAATAAAAAAATTTTCTTTCAAATAAAATAATTTGCTTTCAAATAAAATAATTTCATTTTTATTTTAAGGAGTTATCATTTAGAAAAATGTAGAAGGAAGACCAAGTCAAAATGGCTTAATGTTCTAATCATTTCTCTCTGTATTGATCTGTAGTATATTAAGTATCGAGCGATCTGGACAATTTCATAAATATCTTTCAAAAATCTTATTATTACATGACTATTGCGAAATTTATATTTTTATAACACACTACAAAGCAATTTTATTTTAAACTAATTGTTTTATTTTTAAGACAAAATCAAAGTCAAGCCTCATTTTTTCTTTCATAAACATCTTTATTTATACATTTAGTGCTCAAATTATTATAAATTATTTTATTATTTCTGTGAAAAGTGTTAAAATTGTTCACCTTGAATTTTAGTAAGGGTATTTTATGTTTGAGCTTATTTTGTCATTTGAGCTTTAACTTTGCGTCTTATCAAAAAACGTACAAGGTTTGAAGTAAATTCCTAATGAAAAGTATTAACATAGAGTGGAAAATCATAGCTTTGGTAATTTTCTACACATAAATAATAAAGAAAATAAATAAATAAATAATAAAGAAAAATTAAATAAATAAATGAATAATTTGTGTATTTGAGCTTAACTAGAGCATTTTCATAGGACAAAAAATATTTCTCACACCTTTGTTGTTTCTGGGTTTTAAAAATTGATAAAACAAATGAATATGAAAGAAAGTAAAATTTTTTGAATACTCTCAAAAAAGTCATATATTTGAATTATTCTATTACTATTTATATAGGTTTGGTTTGTCGCTCTACGGCCATTTTATACACACTTTGGGCTAATTAGATCGGGACCTACAATTTAACGTGGATTCCGAACCACTAACAAACATCCATGCCACCGCGAGGATATTTATATAGGAGAAATGTCATCAAACATTGGGAAAAAGGTTAGGAACATATTTTTAAGCTTACAAGATTATTTTCTACACATAGGTGACTTCCCACAATTTAAGGGAGAAATTATGTATAAGAATAACACGCATTAGAAATACATCTAATACTTTGCTCTAATGCTAAAATGCTCTATTTTATTTTTTATTTAAATTTATTTTATAGTACAAGCATGTATTTTATTGTATTGCATGTTTATCAGCGACAAAATGCGTAATAATTTTAATGATATAGGGAACACTAACATTACATTATTTAATTTGTAAAGAATTGTTTCCTATCAAATACAACAAAAAATAAGATTTTTTTAAAAAATGAACAGAATAATAGTAATAATATAAAATTTGACAGTATGGTTCTTTTACTATGAAATTAACACTTTAAAGTTACCGTACATTTACAGTAAATTTAATTTTTTTAAATCAAATTTTACAGACAAAGTGAATTTAGATGAAATAAAAAATTAAGCGAACTATCGGAAGTTTTAAATTATTATATTTTAAACTAACTGTACTTTAGATTTTAAACTTAGATTTTGTTCTTACTGCTCTTAAAACTATAAAGAAAGATTTTAAAACAAATTGCTAAAACAATCTGTTCTTACTGCTCTAACTGTTCTTAAAACTACGAAGAAAGATTTTAAAACAAATTGTTAAAATAATCAGTTCTTACTTTATTTATATCACAAATTTTAATGAATACATAAAAAGATTTCTTGGAAAAGAACGTTTGAGACGTACAAATAAAAATATTTTTTTAAGATATAAATATGATTTAGAAAGGAATACTGTTTCAGGTTAAAATGTTTGCAACCGAAAAATGAAATATTTTTCGAACTACATTTATTAAGCTTATTTTATACAAGCGTCATTGTTTCAAGTTAAAATCTCGTAATTAAAAACCAATATTTTAATAGTTACGAGAAAATTCAATCTTACAAACTCTGCTTTTGTAACATGTCTTATCATCTTGTCTCTGCTTTTTTTTGCTGTTGTTGCTTTATGATTTCTATACGCTTCGTTTTCTGCAATGCAACGCTGAAAAATGTTTTTTTCCCGACTAATTCAGCGTAATAATTTCTATCGAAGCTAACAGAGATAACAGTTTCGTGCATAAGCGTCAAGAGTACTATTAAAGGCTTATTGTTCAGCAATTATTTATAATATTTGTCATTATTTAATTATAATCTTGTCACTCAGCGATACATTTTATGTTACTATTACTAAATACATTTTATGTTACTATTAATAAATACTCTTATTTCTAATAAAATGTATTTTTATTTTTTATTTAAATTTATTTTATTGTATAAGAGTATTGCATGTTTATCAGTAAAAAAACGCGAAATAATTTTAATGATGTAGGGAACACTAACATCACATTATTTAATTTGTAAAAAATTGTTTCCAATCAAATACAACCGAAAAATAAGATTTTTAAAAAAAAATTAGCAGAATAGTAGTCTCATTATAAAATTTTACAGTATGGTTCTTTTACCATGAAATTAACACTTTAAAGTTACCGCACATCTACAGTAAATTTAATTTTTTTAATCACATTTTATAGACAAAAGAAATTTAGATATAATAAAAAAATTAAATGAAGCATTCGAAATTTTAAATTATTAGATTTTAAGTTAACTGTTCTTTAAATTTTAAACAAACTGTTCTTTAAATTTTAAACAAACTGTTCTTAAGATTTTAAACAAACTGTTCTTAAAACTGTGAAGAAAGATTTTAAAGCAAACTGTTAAAACAATCTGTTCTTACTTTATTTATATCACAAAATTTTAATGAATATATAAAAAGATTTTTTGGAAAAGAACGTTTGAGTCATACAAATAAAAATATTTTTTAAATATAAATGTGATTTAGAAAGGAATTCTGTTTCAGGTTAAAATATTTGCGACCAAAAACGGAAAATATTTTTTCGAACTTTTTTTATTAAGCTTATTTTATACAAGCTTCATTGTTTCAAGTTAAAGTTTCGTAATTAAAAACCAATATTTTTTCACACTTTCCAGAAGGATAACTATTTTTAATAGTTACGAGAAAATCCAATCTTACAAACTCTGCTTTTGTAACATTTCTTATCATCTTGTTTCTGCTTTTTTTGCTGTTGTTGTTGCTTTATCATTTCTATACGCTTCGTTTCCTGCAGCGCAACGCTGAAAAATGTTTTTTTTCCCGACGAATTCAGCGTAATAATTTCTATCGAAGCTAACAGAAATCACAGTTTCGTGCATAAGCATCAAGAGTGCTATTAAAGGCTTATTGTTCGGATAGGCGTTACCATTCTTTTTTTAAAAATCTTCACTTTATGCAATTTGTCATTATTTAATTATAATCTTGTAACGTAATGATACATTTTACGTTACTAAGGCGTTGATAAAAGCGTTTCTTTTCGCCTTAAATTCGCTAAACATTAATGGGAGCCGTGAAAGAGAATGGTTGACATGGTCCAGAGAGCTGTCTGTCCTGTTGTCTTTTTGGTAATATTTTAAAATAAGTTCTTTATAAAGTAGTAGCCGTTTTTTATTTTATTCTGTTCAGCAAAATACTTAAACACGCATTTGTAAATCTCAAAATGGTTTTATCTACAGAAAATGGGTCGCTGGAGCAATGATTTTGTTAAACTTTTTATCATTTGTTACAAATTGACAGATAATTTACAAATTAATTGCTTTGAAAATCATAAATGTTTTCGTTTTATTTAATCGTTCTACTATCGTTCTATTAATTTTAACAGTAATATATGGTTAATTTATTTATGAAAATTTTTTAATGAAAATTGGTGGTCTTCCTTTTCCACTTTGTACTTTGTAAACAACCCAATGTTAGATTATGAGGAGAGATTTTATTTTGTTTGTCGCTCTACGGTCATGTTCTGCATACTTTGGGCTAATTAGACCGGGACTTACAGTTTAACGTGGATTCTGAAACACTAACAAACATCCATGCCACTGCACATGCAGGCGGTCCGGGTTAGATTCCCGGCATGGAAAATTTGATTCTGTTTGCGGCTTGATGGCCAATTGGCTAGCGATCTGGCCTTTGGTACCTCGGATTTCAGGTTCGAATTCTGGAGGTGGCATGGGTATTTGTTAGTGGTTCGGAATCCCGTTAAACAGTAGGTACCGGTCTAATTAGTTTAAAGTCAGCATAAAATGTCCGTAAAGCGACAAACCAAATCATACCACCGCCAGGATTCGAACCTGAAGCCTGTGGTATCAATGGCCAGAGCTCTAGCCAATTGGTCATCAGACCGCATAAGGGGAGGATATTGACTTCTGAGAGGACTTTTAGAGATAACTACTTCACATTTATGTGTTGTATGGATGAAAACCCAGAAACTCCTACCAGTATTTTGAAATAGTTTTACATATGTTGCCACAATGGCTATCGAGTTTCCTCATTTCTGAAAACAGTGACTGCAATAGATGCTACTAATGTTTTTGAAACTAAAACCATCTGATTTTGTTACACTATTTATCATTA